AAAAAAAGTCCCTCTTATTCTAAGTTCCATCATTTCATTCCGCCATTATCACTCATTACTTTTTCCGTTTATTTTTAATTCTCTTTCTCATTATCTCAATTTTTGTCATTGTACTTTCTAATAATTTTTTCATTGTAAAATTTCAAAATTTAATTGTAAAAATTTATCATGAACATGCTTGATTCGTGTTTGCTCGTTTTACTCGACTCTAAACGAAGAATTTTATGGGAAAATTTAGTTTTTTTAATTTTAAAATTTGAATTTAAAAATTATACATAACTTCTATGTATCTTTCTTACCCTTAAAAATCTCTTCATTACCCCAATTCAAAATTCAGGCGGAGAATTTTAATTAGAAAATTTATTTTTGTAATTGCTCATTTAATTTTTAAAATTCTAATTTTAAAATAATACATCAATTTGGTTGAGAAATTCTTAAATAGACCTAAATACATCACTTCATCAATGATTTATCTAATAAAAACATGACATTCAAATAATATTAAATATTTATTAATTCTAACATTAATGATAGTAAAGAGAAAGAAGCCAATAACAAAATATGTATCATGAATGAATATGGAAGGCAAGGAGATGATATCAATATGACTAACAAGCATTTGAGAATTATTGGCAATGTGTATGGAATAGGCAGTAGAGTTAAGTGTCATAGAGGAGAAGAGATTTTCCTCATCTGTCATACGATTGTAACAAACAGGGTTAAAATATCAAGTGGATTTACCAGTAAGAGCAGATAAGGCAGCAAATAGGCTAGAAGATCTGGAGATGAATGTAAGCAACAAAGTTTTAAGTTCAATCGAAAAGGATCCCAAAGTAGGCTAAGCAAGATCACATTATTCCAACAAAGGACGGTAATTGCAACCATTCAAGGTACCTAATACAGATTAAGCAACCTCTCAATTTTTCTTTTTTTTTTAAGGGAAAAAAGGCTTACAAAAGTGAATGAAGGATTAAAAATATCCAAGCCAAAGATTATAATGTGAATGGCACAGCGCACACACTAAGAAACTAATCAATGATTTGACAATTGAAAATGACGCATTAGATGTTTTGTTCCTGTTGACCAAATTTCAACATGATCTAAAGGTTAACGAATATGAAAATGGTGATTTACCAAAACTACCCTGTGGATGTACGAAAATACATTTAAGGTAAATCTGAACTCATGACGAAGCATGATAACACTGTTGCGAAGGAAGGCTAACGCTCTTCAAACATTAACTTATCATGGAAAAAATATTTTATGGCTTTGGTACCGTGAAAGCTATTAGAGACGAGAGAGATAAATCAGAGAAAGATTGAAAAATATCACATGAATTACTATTGTGATGATTACAATATATACAATGAGAGAAAGATAACATAATAAAGACTATTTACAACATCTTATCAAATAATATCTCTAAAATAATGACAAATAATAAATAGTAATGTATGTTTAGAATGTTCTAGGTAACATTCAAAATTCAATATCTAAGATGCTAATTACATAATAGTTTAGGTTCTAAGATGTCCTTTAACCCTTAATAATAATAAATTAATGATATTGATACACACATACACTAATTAACATCGTTGTTTACTTAAAATATTTTTATTATTTTAACATATATCTCCACTAACGTCTCACGAGCATCTCAACATGACTAGATAACAAAGCATAATAATGTAAATATAACTATAATTATTATAATTCTAATGGTAAAAAAGGGATGACCCGTGTATTGCATTGCACGGGTAAAATACTATTTAATTGAAAAGAATATGACTTTCTGGTGCATCAAGAAGCAGGCGTTTCGTGGGCCCGGAATAGCAGCCACCTTAACAGGAATTCATACGTGTGAGCTCTGACGAGGGAAGAAGAAAAATGCCTTGAAAAAGAGTTCATAAAATCTCCCTCTATTCTCACTTATTGAAAATTTTTTATATGGCCATACATTATGTGTGCATACATGTAAAACATGTCTGACGGGAAAATTATACGCACCCGCCCTTCCACTTAGTACAGGACCATCCACTTTGGCACTTTGCACAGCATATAATTAACCTCGGTGACCTTACTTTTATGAAAATTTCAATTTATTAAAAAATATTGATAATTAATATATTATCCAAATCAGAACCAGTTTTTCTTGTTATACTCCATTGTTTATATGAGCAATACGCATTAAACCAAATCATAACAACACCAATAAATATCCATGCTAGTTGTATATATTCAAACTAATAAATAACAAATAAACGAGAAATAACAACAAACCCCGCTCATCATATATATATATATATATAAAGCATAATGAATATTAATAATTTAATATGCCTTTTCAACTTTAGAGTTGGTCCGAGCTGGAGAATGTTGATCCCTTTCTCGTTTGTTCTTTAAAAACTTCCTTACGTGCGTGCCCATGTCGTGTCTCACGCCCATCACCTGGCACTTTTTCGACGGCATGGCGAAATAAAAATAAAAAAAAAACATATAAATTGATCAGTGGGAAAGCAAAAGTCATTCTTCACGTTCATGCCGATTCCCACGCACGCTCACATAATGTGTTAATAACATAATATTATTATTACTAACTAAACATAAGCGGTGGCGCTCTTGTCATTTAATTAAGTAATTGAGGGTTTAAATTTGATCCTTGTTATGTACGATTTTATTCCCTTCTTCATTGCATCTTCCATAGTTTGTGGTTGTCTTCTGCAATTTTCATTCACGGCTATAGAAAGAAGCAAACTTGTGCATTTCTACGGGATTCTAAAATTGTGAGGTTGTGTACGGGAAATTGGACCGCAACGTCTCATGACCCACCATGCTTTTTGGACTGGAAGAACCAAACTTTGACGTTATACGAAGGGCCCGCCCTTAGATTTCAGATGGCCACTCCCTTGCCTAATCTCACACACTGCTATAAAGAGAAATGCCATGCCCATCATGCTAGCATTTTGTCCGAGAAAAATCTTCATATTTTTGGGAAAAAGGAAATATAATCATTGGTTTCTATACGTTTAACATATTTTAATGCTAGTTTCAATACTTTTACTTTAGTAATGTATATGCAATGTTAGTTATCATTAATGCTGGCGGAGTTAAATATGCTTATATGTGCACATAACCTGTTTAATTTTATTGGCGGGTCAATAAAATTAGTTGAACATTGTATAAGCAAAACAGCTACTAATTAATATTTTTACCTGCATGCTTTAGCAGTGTGGGTGTGTGTGTGTTTTTTGTTTTTTTGTTTTTGAAGCTCTATCCATTACACGTGTAAGGATCTAGTTTAACATCCTGATTGTCTGTTTTTTTTTTTTGTCCTCTACTTAATTTTTATATAACTCTTTATAATTTTAACAAGTCACCAATATAAGAAGTAACAAAGTTTATGCACATATACTTTTGAGTCATTATGGTCATGTTTAAAACTAATTGAGACTAACAGTACAGATAAGTGAAACTTAAAAGATTTGAAACAATGAAATAGAAATACAAGTACAGTGACTAATACCAAAAAGGCAAAAACACACTAAAAGTACAGGGACAAAAATTATAGTTTCCCTCTTTTTTTACTATAGTATTGCTTCTCTATTGTAAAATATAAGCAATTTTTAATAGTAATTTGTATACTAATAAAAGTTTTATTCTCATCAAAACGTGTATTCTCATGAAAGTATATATTTACAATGACAGCTTATTGAAAACAAAAATTCAAACTGGGCAAATAACATGTTGGCCAAGAGAGGCTAGCAAGCAACTTGCACGCGCTTACGTGAAAGTCAAAACCTCTCTTTATGAGTGACGCCATGCGTTGCAAGTAAACTGCGTGTGCTTCTCCACCCACAGTATAGTCAACTCGTCGACCTTCAATCTACCAAGCCGTGTACACTAATTACGCAGACTACGTTACATGTAAACTAATTAGCAATCAAATTATCTACTACTCCCATATTGACAATAATAGTTGTCTGCCAGGTCATGTTTGGATATTGTTGGTTTTAATTAAATCTAATTATTTTTAAGATGTATTTTGTATTTTGCATTGATTAAATTTAAAACCTCGGGCTTAAACTTCATATAACCTTTAATTTGTTTCCATACTAATAACCAACACTTAATGGTCAACACTTTTAAAAATATGTTGTTGATCTATCCATCTATCCATCAATATCTGTATAGATTAAGTCAGTTGTGTCACATTGAGTTTGAGAAATAAACTACAGAATTACAAACAATACTCCATTTGTTAAAAAATATAAGACATTTTAATTAAATCTCACCCCCTAATAAGATAGTTATTTATTTTTAAATTAAATTTATCTTTTTATATTTATCCTTATTAAACACCCTACAATAAATATAAAGTTATTATCAATAGAGATATTTTTTTAAAAAAAGATAATGATTACATCTCAAAAGACTAAAAATATATTATATTTTTTAACATTCAATTTTTTAAAAAATATTTTATATTTTTTTATAAATTATATATAAGATAAAGATGCGATTTCCTTTTTTGGAGGGGGGCCAAAACGGGTAATTCTGCAGTACTTGTATATATGTAATTTTAGTTTACAACACACACAAAATGCGCAAACAAAAATACCAAATAGAGCATGCCGACAAAAGTTGAGAAAAGAAAATGTAAGTGACGCCCTATAAAATGTTCCAAATATGCCAGCTGATGGACTGACGAGCACGTGATATTAATCAATAAATAACGGAAGCACGTACGACGAATCAGCGAAGAGACAGAGAAGCGTCGATACTAATCTTTATCTATTAGCAATATTCGCTTCGTTTGATGGACAAGTCCAGGAAATCGACAAAAACGCGTTTTATTATTTTATATTTTAATATTAATTAGTTGTTTGTCAGCACTCGCCAGAGAAATACAGACTCGCACTTTAATTTCTCCTCATCAAGGTGGCTTCTCTCTATATATAGCTTCCTTAACCACACTCCTTCTTGTCCAGCTTCGATCTTTTCCCTCTCCAGCAAATTATAGACAAATATATATATATATATATATATGCATACATATATCTGATACTATATATACAGACCATCGTATAAATTCACAAACCCTCAAGCCTCCCTCGTCCACATCTTCTTGGTTTTTTCCTCTCTGGGTTCTTGTGTCCCTTTCAAAATACTGGTTTCGTCGCTCTCTCAGTAAAGAATCGATCCCGAGTTTTTCAAAACATGGTCTGTTTGGTGTCTCGCTCAGGAAGGGAGTTGCAGAGATATAATAATATGGGATTCCGGCAAGTTGTGGGGTGAGTTATTATAAGGATTGTTCAGATAAATTCAGTCTTATGAACAATTAATTTTCCAATCTCTTCTTCTTCTTAAATTCACCATTACTTCTCTAGAGAGAGAGAGAGAGAGAGAGAGAGAGATCTAGATTGGGGATATCATATGCTGGATTCGGTTTCTTTGATTTGACGGGCGTCTAACAAGTGTTTATTTGTATGCCGCGTCCGCCTCTCTTCATTTTTCACGTGGGTTTCTGTTGAAATTGTTGGCGTTGGGCGGCCCTTTTCATTTAATTATCATCATGAACGAAAATGGAAAAAGGGGTCATTCCCATTCATGTGATCAGTTTCTTCATTCCATGTTGATTATTCTTGGGGCTGTGCTTTCATTTACTTATTCTCATCAAAACATCAAATATTTCTGCAGGTGCATACCTTACAGGTACAAAGAAGACGTGGACGGCAATATAAGCAATGAACTGGAAGTGCTCGTCGTTAGTTCACAGAAGTGTCAGAAGTTCATGTTCCCAAAGGTTCTTCTTCTTCTTTTTGATCCTCGACGTGATTAATGAGATCCGAAAGAACACTATCGGGTGCTTCTTGGGGATCATCTGTAGATTGTGCAGAACATTAATATATATCGTGCTTTTGTCATTTTCAGGGAGGCTGGGAACTCGATGAATCTGTTGAAGAGGCAGCTTGCAGGGAATCCCTTGAAGAAGCTGGAGTAATCGGAATCGTTGAGGTATAGAAACATTATCGACTTTTAAAACACACATTACTCTAGAGTTTAACATTATAAGTGAAGATTCTGGTTTTGAAATGAAACTGAAATTTGATTTTTGATGTGCCCATGTGGCAGGCTCAGTTGGGTCAATGGAGCTTCATTAGCAAGAGATACGGCACGCACTATGAAGGACACATGTTCCCATTGTTTGTCAAGGAGCAACTTGATCTGTGGCCAGAGAAACATGTACGAAGAAGATTATGGGTAAGTTTAGGATCTAAATTAATGATTCCTTTATCATCAGCTCACCTTGAGTTCAGAATTGTGCTAATTAATGTTCTTTGTAATTTCTCTGCGCAGATGAGTGTTGCTGAAGCCAGAGAAGCTTGTCAGCATTGGTGGATGAAAGAAGCCTTAGATATATTGGTTGAGAGGCTGATCATTACCTCACAGCAACAAATTGAGGATATAACTTTGGCTGATTCTAAATGAAGAACAAGTTGGCCACTTCATGCAAATATAGAAAATGTTCTGAACACACACACGCGTTCCTTTTTAGAGAATAGAAATGTTCAACGTATTATTTTCAAACTGTTTATATGTGTGAGCGGAAGATTAGAGGGTATTGGTTAGGCAGAGTCGACAGAGAATTGTAGAGAGAGAGAACAAATTGTAATTTCTATTGATTCTTTCATTACGTTTTCCCATGAGAATATCCGTTACATGGTTAGAATAGATATATTAATTAAGGTTTTACACCATGCTTCTCAGTCCTCACTGGTTTAAATTGGCTTGTGTTGAATCATCACTGGCCCTGTGCCATAATTACTGTCTACCAACAATATCAGTGAAGCCAAGGAATGAACATAATTGGAGGATTAAAGAATGCTACTTAACTGTAGCAGCACTATACATAAATGTGTGTGTGCGTGTGTTGGGGGGGAGGGTCAATTTCAGATACAATCGCCGCAAGATTACAATTATGATAATAGCCACAGATTATGGGAATTAAAAACAGCAGCAAGGAACTTCAACCGTGTCCTGAAGTCAGGACTCAGGAGCAGGACTGCAAGTCTGGTCCCACGCAAAGTTTCTTGCAGAACGCATCATATACAAGGAGATGCATTGATGTTGTGACTTATGACCTGTTGGATTTGTCTATTGTCTTTTCTGTCGCCCCTTCTAATACTTAAAGTTCTACATTGCGTCATCACTTTTTCCCCCCCTTTTTCGCGTGTTTATAATATTATATTTTAGCAGTTTTGTTTTGGATGTGTTGTCACAACTGTATAATTTATTGTTACAAACGTAGTATTTTCACTTACGCTACTACTTGCAGCTTTGGCCTGCGATGATGCTTCCGAGGTATTCACCACGTTTCAATCCAGACGGTTTGTTTTCATGTATTATTTTGATATGTGCTGTTTAATCTCTCTATCTGTCAATCTAGTATAGTGATGTCATGAAATACATATAATTAACGTAAAAAAGCACAAATGATATACAATAATATAAATGTGCTCACAGAAACCATACATGTCCTAGTTTGTTAAAGGACCAGGATGGCAAGTGCAAGAGTATTCTCTCTCACATTTGAATGATCTTAAAATCACAGCAAATAATTTTTGATTCATTTTGGTAAGGAATTATTGAGGGTGCCAAACTGCAAACACAGAAAAAAGAATAAAAACTCAAAAATGAATATGAATTGTGCGGTACTCTCTCTCTCTCTCTAATTGTGCTGTGCTCTTTATTCACATCTCGTATAAAAGAATGAGTTATAATAAATACTAAATTAACTCATACTAAGTACAATAAATAAAATAATCAAGATAGGGATTAGGTATTCCATGGAATTTTAAAATAAGAAGCTACCCCAAATCACCAAATTTGAGGACACTAGCTTGCGTCTCAAGTAATGGCATGCTTAAAATATTGTTGGCTGATGCTAGTTAATTAAGTGCTGGGTTAAAAATATCAAAAATGAAGTTAACCCCAAATCATTCTCAATCGTATCAAATTACTGGGTAAAAGGGCAATAAAACCACATCTTTTTGTTATAAAAAAAAATCACAACTTACTACATTTTTTTTTACCGGCACATGTCTTATTACATTAGCAGGATGTAGCTAATAACCAATATATCAGCATTGTTTGTATCTCGACTTGTCATCAATTGGACTTGACTTCCCTCCTCCTGCGGTCATCTCGCGTTTTATCAAATTTGAACCATCTAAATTTAACTTTATTATGTTTTATTTTTATTTAATATTTATTAAAAATATAAATATATAAAAATTATAAAAAAACTTAATAAACTTGTTTATCAATCTGAGAGTCTAGATTTAATGTGAATAATTTAAAATTTAATATTAAAAATTTAAATTGATTATTTAGATATACTATAGTGCTTGGATTATGCAATCAACTTATTAAAAAATTTTAATATTACATTTGGATCATTTATATTAAATATAGACTATTCAAATTGATAAGTAAATTTATTAAATTTTTATATTTCTTTAATTTTTATTTAAATAAATATAAAATAAAATAAGTCTGAATTCTTCAGATTAAATATTGACAGGCTAGATTTTCTTTTGTTGTAGTGGAGATGCAGAGGTGGGATTTTGCTGAGGAGAGAAGCCGCATCGTGATAAACTGGGAACATAAAGAGAATGAGAGAAATAAGCATAGAATTTCATTACCATGAAAGTACCCCCTCTGCCTTTTGGTCTTATTTATAAAATAAAAATAAATTTTTTTATTTTATTTGTAAATCATTTAAGTAAATTTTCATTGCAAAGTTGTTTTATTTGCTCTCCGTTATATATTAAAAAGAAAAAAAATATGTTATTAAATTATATATATTTAATAGGAGTGAGAGAAATTATTAAATTTCTATACATATTTAATAAATTTTAAAATTTTTATTAATTTTGATAATATATATTAAAAGTGATTTATAAATAAAATTAGAGGATTATAATTTATTTTTGTTTAAAAATATAAAATAAAGTCAGAAAAAAGAAATGAGCCCTATTTTAAAGGGAGAGGGGTGTCTCTTTTTTTTTCCTCTCCATTTCTCTCCTTCTCTCATGTCGTTGTTGGATTAAAATTTTAATAATTTTGATTTTATATTTGATCAAATTATTATCATTGAAGTTTAATCTAAACAATTTAAAATTATAATATTTTATTTATATATTTTATATAAAATAATAACAATTTTATCAAAATTAAACCTAAACTATTAAAAAGTAGGGAGTTTTGCAAATTTAGCCCATATAATAGGACCAAATAAAAATAATAGCCCAACATTTTTTAAATTTGAATAATGACCTTTTAATATTTATCTGCAATTTAATTGACAAAGCCGCCCTTTTAAAATTATAATACTCTAATTTGTCCAAATGCCCGAAGACCCTAAATGTAAGATAGCAAAGCAGATGAACAAAGACTTAAATTGTTCATGATTTTTTATTTTATTAATTTAGGTATTTGATTCTCTATGATAAGCTAAGAGTTCAAAATTTTTGTAGATTGTTTGATTCTTTTTAGGAAAATAATTATGTGTTTTTCATATTGTTAATTTGCAATATTACATCATTAATACACTATTGTATATGAATGATATACTATCACAGATTAACATATCCAGACAATCAAGCATAAACTTATTTATTATTTATATACAGTTGTACATTAATGATCTAGTATTGTAGATTAGAAATATAAAAAATATATAATCATTTACTCAAAATGAATGAAACACAGTTTGTAAAAAAATCTAGACTCTTAGCTTATTACATAAAATTAAATACCTAAACTAATAAAATAAAAAAATATGAACAATGAGCGAATAACCTGTGTGTTTTGCTGATAATTCAAACAAAGTTTCATAATCAATGACAACAAATTACAAATTATAAACAAATGAAAAACTATTCGGTGAAGATATTACCGAGAAATATGAAGATGGTGAATAATAGATAATAGATCCCGACCTACTGTTCAACTTTTAGAAACTGGAATTTGATTATCAGTCCTACGAGTATTGACAGTGCTTTTGAAAAATATTAATTAATAGTGATCCTCGTGGGGCAAGAAAGAAAAGGAATGATTATGAAAGAAGGATAAATAAGATGGTCGTTAGTAGTGGGCAAACGAATTATGGGCTAGCCCGCATAAGCTACGTTGGGCCAACTTGCAAATTTAAATGAACTGAAAAACCCAACCTAACCCATATTATGGCAGGCTAGCTTACATAAATATACTAAAATTCCTTTTTTTTCATGCATAAACATTGAATTCAATTGACTAGATTTTATCTACACTCCTTGTCCTTAACAAATTAACAATTAACAAGCATCTAAAATTACAAATATAGTCATCCTCATTTAAATTGTTCAAAAATCATTAATCAACACTATTTGAGTCTAAAGTTCACTCAAATGAAGCAAAAATTAACAATCCAACTTTCAACTTTCAAGTGAAAACTACTCAGAATAGTTCATGTTAAATTAATGATGACATTGGAAGCTTGTTCTGCTACATGGTTATCTTCATATGATATAATTAATATAACTTCACCATCATTGTCATCATCATCTTCCTCACCAAAACCTTTACCCACCACAAACATAGATCAACAACATATATTATTAATTAAGCCTGTTAAAGAAATTAACAATAATAAAATATATTATTTTGGAACAAATTACTATTATAATTCCATCCAAACAAACAATTTCTTATACAAATAAGAGTTTGAATGTTCTTTGGAAGGAGTGAAGACTGGTATTTTGTAAGAACACGTGAGCCAATGTTAAAGGTCGATTTACTAGCTATTGTAGTTGTCAGATGCTCAAGACATCACATGCAATTTTTGAAAGGGTTGGAAACTTATGTTGATTATTCTTCAAATAATTCAAAACATTCAATTTCTGAAATGTATTAAGACCAAGAGTTATTTCTTCCAAATAATAATATAATTCAGACTTTGTAATGGCAGAAGTATCACGAATCTTCACTTTAAGAAAATCTTGTATTAAATTTATAAGTATTAATAAATTGTCAATCAAAATAAAGTGTTGTGAATAAATATAGAGAATTTAAAAACTTACACCATAAGCTTGAGATAATGCCTTTTTTTCATCTTTCATTTTCTTCATAGTGTTATGTGGACCCATATATGATTGATGAGTTGATGTTGATGACCCAGATCTAGAGATGATTGAGTAGTTAGAGATAATTGTGATGTACTACTCGTTTATTTATATTGATCAAATATATAAATCAACTTATGCTTGATAGTTTCAATCTTTGCATGGCCATATAGATGATCAATCAAAGAATAATAATGTTCAATTATGTTAAATTTCATGCATAGATCAAGAACAGTTCCAAGTGCAAGAATCATATTATAATCACTCTAATACTTGTGAAATTTATCTTTTATTTTGCTTGCCATTTCTTGAAGTATAAGGTTATCACTCATCATGTGTTCATTCAATAAGATTTTAATTCTTACTGTTTGCATGAAATAGATGTTTGAAGTTAGGTAAAATGTCTTTGAAATCAAGTTGGTGATCACATCAAAGGGCTCTAATAAAGTATATATCTCTATCGCTCTCCTCCATTCTTTAGCAAGAAAGAGCCAACTGACTACTTAAGCTATTGTTGAAGAATAAAGAGCGATTTCAGATTTTATTGAGCAAAGAATGAGAGAAGAGATCAAAGAGCTGAGCTAAGTAGTAGGCCCTGATCAAAGAACGAAGGCAAAGGCAAAGGCAAAGCCAAATACAGAAGATAGATCAAAGAAGAGCGACAGAGCGTGCACAATTTATTAGGGTTCGTGACTTTTTTGCCCTGTGCTTAAGTCTTGAGTTGAGTCTAAAAGTATTGACTACTTTTAATTGTGCACTAGTTGACTGTGTCACTAGTGGTGTGGTGTGGACTCATTGTGGAAGCATGAACTCTCATATTAGATTCTCAATCTCTCGATTCTTGATTAGACCATGCTGTGTGGACTAGACTATGGAGCGGAGTAGTGGACTAGACCAGTCTAGTGTGTGCAACCATGGTCACTAGTCACTCGTCTATGTCACATATTTTAAAAAAATTAATGCGGGTTAGCAAGCTAGCCCGTTTAGCTCGCACAATTTGATAGTTTGAGCTAACTTAGCTTGTTTTTCATAACAAGCTCATTTTGCCAATCCAAGCCGCAAAAAATAATGGGCTAAAGGGCTGATCCATTCGGTTGAGCCCGTTTTCCTGACTCTAATAGTTGTGTGTGTAGGGAATTAATTCAGTTAGTTAAAGGTTAAAGAATTTAGTTGAATGTTGAAATCATTTCGTTATAAGAAATATATTCCTAGTCCAGTTTGTGTGAAAGTTATTGTTGCGTGTTTTATATATTTGTTTTATGGATAAAAAGGGAAAATTATCTCTAATTAATTTTGTGAATGAGCCATATTTTAAAATATTTGAAAACATCATCCAATAATTTTTGGAAACTCTATTTTTTCACAGCCATTGAGCTAATATTCTCCAAAAAAGTTTTGATATGATGATAATAAAAAGAAAACAAACAAAATGGAGAAAGAAGGGGAAAAAAAGAAGAGGCCTCCCCAGTTTTTAAAAAAATACATCATCTGATCCCATTTATAAGTCACATTTTAAAAAATTATTTAGTCTCATTTATAAGTTACTGTGTGATTTTTTAAATAATAGTTGAAAGGTATTTTCAAAATAACATTTCATGAGAGAAACAAAATAACATGGCATCACTTTTAAATTTGTTATATAAGAGCATATTTAAAATTTTATACATTTTTGTTCTTTATACTTTTTTTTTTTAGTATTGATGATATTGATGATATGGAAATATCTTATTGAGAGAATTATATCCAGCCTCCTTCTAAAAGAATTACTCATAAATAAAAACTAACAATAAGTTTTATTTAAAAAAATAAATTATATTTTCATTTTAATAATAACCTGTTCTGAATTAGTCTTTTTTTGTAATTAATTTTATTAGGAAAGGGCTAGATGTGACTTTCCCAATCTTATTTTACGATGCCACAGGTGAGAAACCGCAAGCTGAGCTCCCACACAGTAACGGCGAAGTAAACTAATAGCGTCAATTCATTTCGTACTCTCCGTCGTCGGAGCGAGCGGCTTTAGCTATGGCGGAGAGGGGTGAGATCTCTGTTTTAACGCTTGGTGGCAAGGGTTCGTCCCTCTCTTCCTCCTCACTGTATGCCATTGCCAGTGGCCGTGCTCTGTTGCGCATTGATTCTGCTGCTCTCGATCGTCTTTCCTCTAGTAAGCGCCCTCCGCCGCCTTCCTGCAGGTGCCGGATCTTCTTCCCTGACTTTCTCACCCCAGAGGATCGAAGGGCCTTCCTCGTTGTGCTTCTCAACAATCTCCTCCTCTCTAATGCCCCTGGCATCCGTGTTTTTCTTCCTGAACTCATTGCCGAGGCCTTGAATTCTAAGCCCCAAAGTTTGGAATTCGGGGAAGTCGACGTGACTGAGGACGAGATGCTTGTGCTGAAGAATTCTTTCTCTCCTCTGCTTGGGGTTTCTTCGATTTTGGATCACCAAGCAGCGGCGTTGTCTGCTTTTGCGGATTTCGCTGCTGCTTTATCGTGTGAAGCGTTGAAGGCTGATATAACCGCGTTCGATTTGATGGATTCTGGAGATGGGCATGCCTCCAAGGAGAAAGTTGGCGTCTCCAGTGATATGAAAGTCCTGCTTAATGGGTCCAAGTTGGTGGGCAAGGTTAAGATTGAGTCTGTTTCGAGGATTCCTGTAGTTCACGGAACGATGAGGGAGCAGGTGAAATTGGTGCATTCTAAAATGCGAGTGGAGTTGAATTCGGGTGTTGGGACAGAGGGAGCTGTAAGTGTAGTGCTGTTGGCATTGGCAGCAGCATTAGGAGACCTGGGCGAGTGGAGCTTTCTCCGTGCGGAAAATAATCTGGCTTCCATAGCTAGCAATGAGCTGAGGTCAAGTCTAGAAGGAGTCTCTGCAAAGAGATGCCCCACTTTTTCTAGTTTAGGCAGTAGATGTGGCAGAGCATTTGATTTGTATCTTAAAAAGGACTTTGGTAATTTTGTACATGAAGTGAAAATGCTTTTGGATACAGTTTGGAACATTGTGGCATGGGAAGTTGTAACAGCTTTTGTGGCACTCGAATCTGTTGAACTTACCGGAAAGATTCAAGAACCTGCTGGAAAGATTCAAGCTGGGGTGAATAGAGATAACACAAAAGTGGAGAAGAAAAATGAGAAGAAGAAGGTTGTTTTGGGGAAAGGAAACAGTGTGATTCTACAATTAATTAAGGACAGGTTGCAGAATAAAAGAGACGATGCTGTTGATATGTCGGGATTATTGGAGATATGGGTTTGTGATTTTCTATCACTTTTTGATTTGAAGGATCCTGAATTTGAGGTCTTTTTATCTAAAGTAAAGGACTTTATAGAAAGCAATGAAAGCAGAAGACTACCCAAGATTCCTAAGGTAACTGTCTCAACTGATGATGAGCCTCATTCTAGTTTGTGTTAGATATTTCTGTTTTTAGCTGGCCTTTTTTTTTTTTTTACACTTAATTGATTTTATTGAACGGTTAAAACAAATCATTTCCACTTTTTTATGGTGTTAGCTACTTTGCTATTTCTGTTCCTAGATTGGGAGGGTTTTGGATTTTATAGTCTTACCTTGAGCATATAATTTAATATCTAGGGGACTCGTGACTTTGCCAAAGAACAAATGACAGTAAGAAAGAAAGCCTTTTCAATAATAGAGGAAGTTTTTGAGAGGCATGGTGCCGCGGCCTTGGATACTCCTGTTTTTGAATTGCGTGAAACTCTCACGGGAAAGTATGGGGAGGACTCGAAGCTGATTTATGATCTTGCTGACCAGGTACATATGTTAATTGCCTGTTCATGTCCGGGCTTGCTAAACATGGGCTTCCCATGCATTGCATGAAGTCTAAGAGATAAGCTATATTGTTCATGGCTCATGAATAGTGTGGTTTCCTATGAATTTGATGATATATGTTGATTCGATACTAATATTGTAACCCCCCCCCCCCCCAAAAAAAAAGTTTAATTATATGTTTTAAGACTGAAACGTTAGAACCCTCCAGAATATGAAGGATAATATGCTTGGTCCTATTTGTGTTCTTGTTTTAGCTAATCCCAAGTGGTTGAGTCTGGGTTGAGTTAATTGTTTAAGATTATTACATCATATGAAGTTTTTCTTTCCCTGATAATGAAAGAAGCAAATACAGACAACATATCTAAAAAACCAAAACAACAAAAAAGAAATTTCATCTCTGAAGTATTGCTTTTGCCAATTCTATATTCAATTCAGAGTCATATATCCTATCCAGTATCAGGATTCTTGATTCACTTTTTGTATGACTTATTGTCATGATGCTTTTACAACAACAACAATAAGCCTTATCTCACTTAAGTGAAGTTTTGTACAGTACCATTTTGCTCTATTGACGACGAACTCTTCAGATAAATCATTCACTCATAGATTCCATTCAATAACTCATTTGAGTGTCTTTTTTGGTCTTCCTCTGCATCTGTTCATAATGCTATAATAGAAAAGGAAGAACAACTCTTGACATCCTGGTTAAACATCTATTGGTTTCACCAGAACATGACAATGAGCTTGCAGAAGCCGACATGAGATATGGAAGACACAAAAAATGTGAAAACATAAACTCGAGAAATGAAGCATTTCAAGACTGAAAATTTTGTCTTCTAATTGTTGTGACACGGAGAAATGATTCTTGCTCAAGTATTTTAGATGTTGCCACACCATTTTCCTAGTTCTTTGTTTCCCTACTTAAAAAAAAGAAGAAGATATTGATGAGAAGTGAGAACAATATGAAAAGCTACATAACAGAGGACAAGAAATACTCTGTAAACATAAGTCAATACAAAACAAAGTAGAATATTTGAGTGATTTTGAATAATTTTGTTTGAATTATTTTTGCACCACAAAAATTGATTTGAAACATTTTGACCTTATTAACTATGTTCCAACTTGTACTTTGACATTTTTGACAGGGTGGCGAGCTCTGTTCTTTGCGGTATGACTTAACTGTTCCATTTGCTAGATATGTAGCCATGAATGGTCTAACATCTTTCAAAAGGTACCAAATAGCCAAGGTCTACAGAAGGGACAACCCATCTAAGGGAAGATACCGAGAATTCTATCAATGTGACTTTGATATTGCTGGTCAGTTTGAGAAAATGGGTCCAGATTTTGAGGTTGTTAGAATTTTGACTGAACTGCTGGATGAGCTAGACATTGGAGACTATGAGGTAAATATTTATTTTCATAAAGTGTTTGCTTTCCTTTAGTTTAATAACTTAATGTCTAGAACTGTCTACTATTTCTAGTCAGCTTCTCTGAAATGTGAAGTGATTTTGAGGAGTTGTGATAGAAGGCTGTCAAAAGTGATATGGGATTTAATCCAATAAGTAGGGACCCAAATGATTCTGTAACTTTAGCCCAAGGCTCTACTCAGTGTAATAGATCCTTCAGAAGATAGACAAATATGTAGCTTAGAGGTGTTCATGATAAAAATTGAACTCAAAATTAAGGATTAAAGTCAATTTCAAGAAAAATATAAAAATACCATTATAAGAAAGTTGAATCACATATATGCTAACCTGACGATAAACTTGATCACATGTTAATATGGTCCAACATGGCCTGAAGCATACACGCTATGATTAAATGCCTCTGCCTCACTAGGATCAGTAGGAGCGAAATCATGCATGCCATCCTCCACTTAATCATAAAAAAAAAATACAGATTTAATGACTCAGAAATCTCACACCAAATTAAAAAAGAAAAAAGAAACTAAAATTAATTTTCTAATAACCTGGTTGTCTAAGTTCTATAAGCAAGCCTATAAGGCAATGTAATGCTGATGGAAATATAAAGTCTGGTGTAAATTATGCCTTTAACTATCACAGTATCACCAAAAAAGTATGATTTTAGTGTCTTAATTTGCACACTGAAATTGCTTTTACCAAAGTTTTAAATGGAATACTTCATCTAGAAGCATTAAAGGGTGAAGAATCAGATTTGGCTTGGAAAGTGAAATTTTAACATTGTTTTGTCAACTGACAGACAAACTGTGTGAGCTGTTGCAGTTTTTACTCTGGTTTTCTAAAACCTGACTAATATAACTCAACCCAGATGATGGTAAAGTTGAACCATGTAATACAGACTCATTTCAATATTATTGCAATGTAATTTTGATTTCTTGACTTAGTTCTTGGTGTTAGTGTGTTGTGCTTTGATTTTCATGTGACAATATTATGCAATTTTGTGCTCAGATAGCAATTTGTGTATTTGTATATTTATTTTTTTCATTGTCAATTTTTTATGGTTTCACAGATAAAGTTGAATCATCGAAAATTACTGGATGGAATGATGGAAATTTGTGGAGTGCCTGCTGCAAAGTTCAGAACTATATGCTCAAGTATTGACAAATTAGACAAGCAGTCTTTTGATCAGATAAGAAGAGAAATGGTGAGCACATAAGCATTTGCTTGTGTGTCTCTCTCCCCCTCTAATTAGAATACTGCTAATTGGTTGTAGCCAGTGTATTTTGTGTGTAATATGTTCCTTCTTTTAGTCATTGAGAACGTTGCAGTCTATACATTTTAAAATATCTTTTAATTTAGAGCTTTATTTATTGGGCAATAATTAATTAAAAGTATAGCACTAATGTCTAAGTTTGATGTGGTTTGGACATGTACAAAGAAGACCATGGGAGACACTTGTGAGGAGAGTGGAACACATAATTTTGAGCCCTGTCAAGAAGGGTAGAGGAAGGTCAAAGAAAATACTTTTGAAAGTTATTGATTGAGACTTCTTAATTAATGATATTTCTAAATGTTTAGTAAAGAATAGAGCACAATGGCATCGTATAACCCATCTAGCCAATCCCACCTAGTGGGATAAGGCTTCTTGTTGTTGTTGTTGTAATGTCTAAGTTTTCACTTCTCGGTAGGTATTGGTTGATGAATTGGTATTGAAGAACAACAGGGTGTTTATGAAATTTTCATTCTCAGGATTTAGAGTACTGAGTAATTCATTGTTTTTGTATTGGGTAGGCCTTTGCTATATTAGATTAAAATCTGTTGGTTTTAATTTTATTTATATGTCTGATAAATATTAATTTGAGCTGTTAGGGATGATTATGCTACTGCTCATTTACATGGTTCAAGCTGCTAGGGCTCATTTTGTTCTGTTCTGTAACATGCTTCATACAATCATTTTGTAGGTGGAAGAAAAAGGAATATCTGCTGAGACGGCTGACAAAATTGGAGCTTTTGTTAATGAAAGGGGGCCTCCTTTGGCATTGTTATCTAAATTTAAACAAGAGGGTAGTTCTTTCTTAGAACATGCTGGATCTGTTGACGCATTAAATGACCTGGAAATTTTATTCAGAGCTCTGGATAAATCAAAACGCATCGGTAAAATTGTTTTTGACTTGAGTCTTGCCAGGGGTCTTGATTATTATACTGGAGTCATATTTGAAGCTGTTTTCAAGGGCAGTACACAGGTAAAGCATCACATTTTATCTTTACTTACTATTAGTTGCTTCATATATATATCTTAAGTTGGAGGTTTAGCTTGTTAAGTTGATAACTGGTGTTAGAATCCTTCATGTTACTCAATTGAACATAATGAAAAAAAGTTAAGGATAAAAAGATAGCTGTTTATAGTATTTTTGAAATTCATATCTAAAGGTTCAATTAAAAGGCTCCTTTTGCCTTCTCTGTTCTCTTCTTTTTTAAAGGTATGATGGCAAAACTCTTTCCGTTTAATTGCTCGCTGTATGAAAGTATGTAATGCAATGAGGTCTTCAATGGACGGTGGCAGTACTAGCTTCATAATGCAACTAAGGATGTTATTATTTAGTAAATTTGATGGTCAGCTCCAAAATTAAATATAGCTATTCTGCGAACCTGAAAAAAAAATATGCAAATAAAAGGAAAACCCATGGTTTCTTTCTTTCTTTTTTTTGGCCAAGAAAACCCATGGTTTCAGAAGGAGGAGCTTTCTTTTAAATGATGTTATGATATTCACACACACATGTCTTGCCTTGCATGTAGAAATGGATGTGAGTGTGCAAATCTCTGTGCCCAGGTTGGTTCTATTGCTGCTGGTGGTCGATATGATAACCTAATAGGGATGTTTGGATCCAAGCAAGTTCCAGCAATTGGTGTCAGTCTTGGAATTGAGAGAGTATTTGCTATAATGGAGCAGCTTCAGAAAGATCGGAACCAGGTAATTGTAAGGCCTGTTTCACTTTCTACCTGTAGCCTACTACCCACTTGATAGTTCTGAGGGCCAAATTCCAGTTGAACCCTTATTTGCTGGAAAGGGTCAATTATGTTTTATAAAATATTATGTTTTTGAATGCGTTGGAATATTGGATTAAAGCGATATTGTATTCCTCTCTGAAGTAGATAGAATTAATGGCCAACTACCTAATGGTTTATTTGCCCTTACTTGTCAAGTTGAAATTTTCTTATATAAAAGTAGGCACTTATGACCATTTTCATGTAATATATATATTTTTTGTTTTGTTTGTTGATTGGTGCATTTATTAGATGCCTCGAGCAAGCAAAACTGAAGTCCTAGTGAGCATATTAGGGGATGACCTAACACTAGCTTCAGAGCTGGTGAGTGAGTTGTGGGATGTTGGGATTAAAGCAGAATTCTTGGTCAATAAGAGACCAATGAAGCACATAGACCGTGCCAGAGAATCTAGGATCCCGTGGATGGTCCTGGTGGGTGAGCGTGAATTGAATAAAGGTGTCGTGAATCTGAAAGATGTCGAAGCTGCTAAAGAGATGGAGATCCCCAGAGATCAAATTGTTGAGGAGCTTCAAAGACGGTTAAACCCATAAGTCTTATGGTCAGCACGAGCTAACTTAAAAGTTGAGTTTGATTGATTATTCTCAGTGGATTAGTGTCTTGTTTCATTGTTTGTAAGTTGACAATTATTTTTACAATTGAACCGGTGAGTTATAGGCATATTTCTTTCAGAATCACATCACTTTAATGTTGAAGAAATAACTTGCAGATTTTGTTTAGCTATGGAAATTGTAATTTGATTTCTGTTAGTCCACATGTTAAACTTTTGCTTATGGCCTAAGCTGAATCACTCAGTGGCCCCCTTCATGGAGCATGATTAATTTTCTGCAATATTGAGCTCTCACACGCACAAGCTTACATTTTCGCGATTGAGAGTATGCACAGGGTAATGTTGGAGATGGGATGTAAAAATGGGAAAAAAAAATATTATAAAAATGACAAGATTTAGAACTTTACCTATTTAATATACTTTTATTCAATTAAGTTAAAATAAGTGGATTTAAAAGGGAGAAAGAGATGAAAGGGAAGATACAAAACGAGATCATAGATTCATAGCATTGTAATATAATTAATTAAATGCTAAGAAAAGTACAAAAGCTTAATGCATATTCTATACATAACAAGTTACTTTTTATTGAATCAAAATTTTTTTATACATCCATACATCTGTTTTTAATTTTTAAGGCCTACTATATAAATCATCCTGTTAACATAAATTTCAAATACCGTATCAGTCAAATGCTCGGTGTGATATGCGTTTGAAGTGGTTTAACGAACCTACAAGATAATGACAATAAAAAATGACGAACAACTAATTAAAAGGATATGAGCATTCCATACGCTTTTTACATTTTATTTTACCCAAAAAACATGAGTAAATTTTGGAAAATCAAGTCATCAAATATATGTGATGAAATTTGCAGTAGGTTATAGTACTCAAGTTCTGTATATAAATTGTTGCGTGAAAAATTTGTTATTAAAAAAGTTGCACTAAATAATTGTTATATTGTAAAAACTAAAAACTACTCGTTATTATTTGGCTATTTGCAGAGGCCACATAGTCCACATTAACAACGGGAGACCAGCTGTAGAGAATAATCCACAAACGATCCCCTCCTTTTATCTTGTAGACTGTACAGTCTTCGTCACAGTAGTTGGACGCTGTTGTTATTGTTGGGAACTTTTTTCCCCGAACGTCTGGGCCGTACTCTCACTACAATCTCAAAACCCTAATCGGCTCAGTTTGAGTCTCCGAAAACACGGTCATAATGGGTTCTGAAGGATCCGCAGTTGTTGGTGAGTATTGGACACCCAGATTTCCTAATATCTCCTGTACAATGTTTTTCCGTTTTGGATTCTTGACATCCATCCAAAAATTGGGTTGAAGTTCGGCTACAATTTTGTCTTCAAGCCATTCCCTAATTATGAAGAATTACTGAGCTTTTCTTTGTTGTTGGTGCAATCTAAAATTTCTTTTTAGACTTTGCTTGTTCGTGTCGTTCTGGGTGTATGCTTTATTTGAACTAGGGGCTGTTGTTGTTATACTTGGATTATTGGGAGATTAATAAGTGGCATTTCTTTCTGGGATTTTTCATAATTGCTTGATCTACCATCTGTGAGTGCACTGTTTTAATTCAATTCTTTCTGTGTTGGAACCATATTTCTGCATATTACTGAACTAGTTCTGAAGTATGCCTGAACTGAATTGGAATAGTTATTTTGTATGCTAAAATCACATATGTTCAAATACTGTGTATATTTATTGATGGATCATGGTGCATTGTTACTGACAACATTGAAGCATGGCATGCTTTATCATATAATTCAGGAGAGTAGATCTATAAAGTCGTTTATGTTGGTACTAGAACTGGACTCAAGTTTTATTAGTTATGCCTTCCTAATCCAGAGGGAATTCTGGTCATAGGTGGGAAACTGTTTAGCTTGTGGATGATTATTTCCCCCTTTTCACCTCCCCTCTCAATTCTTAATTAACGGCTTTGTATGACATCATGCATGCCTTCCCTTGCCTCTTATTAAGATTTATCTACCACTATTCTCAGCAGAGCTTTTAGGTAAGTTTTGTCCTAGTTTTCAAATATTTGTTGGTAAACATCTCTCTGGGAAATTGATTTGGTATTCTCTCATATACATGCTAAGGTCATGTAGTCCTTTTCTTTAGTGTACAGCCCCATGTGGCAAATTCTTCGTTTCTAGAACAAGTGTTGTCATCTGCAAACTATTATATATATATATATATATACACTATCTCCTTTGATGTTGATAACCTTTGTGCTTCGTTGGTTAATGTCTACAGATTGTTGAAATCTGAGTAGAATTTTCTAGAAATAGCCTTGGACTTGTGAATTTTCTTCAAGAAAGAAGAATTGAATTGAATACATTACATTTCTCTAAATCTTTTCAGTGAGAAATATATTTTGCTTGATGGCTAAAATGAAGAACTTATATCTTGACATCTGTCTTATTGAGTTTGCTATATATTCTCACATATTTTTTAGTCTCTCCAGATCCCTTAAAGGAAAAAAAACTGGTTTTGAATCATCTGAGATAATTTTTTTTATGAATGTGTAATTAACACTTACCTGGCTTTTTTGGTGCATGCAGTACCCAGGAGTTTCAGATTACTGGAAGAGCTTGAAAGAGGTGAAAAGGGAATTGGTGATGGAACTGTCAGCTACGGCATGGATGATGCTGATGATATATACATGCAGTCATGGACAGGGACTATTATTGGGCCCCCTGGTGTAAGCTGATATATATCTTCCTAGGGCTGTAATGTTTTTATTGTATGTTTATGTGTATGCTTCTTTATCCCTTCTCTACCCTCCCAGACTGTTCATGAAGGGCGTATCTACCAGTTGAAATTGTTCTGTGGCAAGGATTATCCAGACAATCCACCATCTGTAAGATTTCAAACAAGGATTAACATGACTTGTGTCAACCAAGAAACTGGAGTGGTGGGTGACATTTTCATAAGGGCTTCCAATACCATGATGTGCATGATAATAGAACTAATAGCTAGCTGAATTATCAGGTTGAGCCACATTTATTTCCCATGCTGGCTAATTGGCAGCGAGAGTATACAATGGAAGACGTTCTGGTGCAGTTGAAGAAAGAAATGCTATCTCCTCAAAATCGGAAGCTAGCTCAGCCTCCTGAAGGTGTGTCATTAATCTTATTTTGGTTATTCTGAATTTGTTTCTTGCTATATTTTTGTGCTGTAATATGCGTTATCTCTACATGCACAGTAATTTTACAGGTTAATATTTTGATTTTCAAGCCACAAGGACCGTTTCTTTCATCATTCTCTATATTTGTTCTAAAATTTTTGTGTATATGGTTAATGTAAAATGTTAACCTTGTGGTTGTAATTCTTAGGAAGCGAGCTCAATAAAAAAGTGGAGATGGAGTTGGTGAATTACTTGTGCACGATGTATCATCCAGTGTTTAACTGATTCACTGACTGCTTGTTTAGGATTTTTTTTTTTTTTTTCCATGCTCCACGATCCGCATAATGTATGGCAAACACAAGGTTGAGTTTCTGGGTAGATGTGTTGAAACTTTTTTGAAAGTTAATGTTAAAACCATGAAATAGTCAATTTAATTCTTGAAACTTTAATTTGTTTCAATTCATTCTTAGTTCTACTCCCAACTAATTTAGATGATTTAAGTCAATTGCTGTTAATTATATATTCCTATTCTTGTATTCTCATTTGGTACCGAGTAAGTTGTATGATGCTGTTTTAGTTCCTAGACCCGGGTAAAAAATACAGAGAAGGAGTGCTTCTTTACTAATGTGAAATTTATGAATTCATTAATAAGTCTGTGAAACTTGTTCATCTTTGTTGATTGGTTGTTGATTCTGTATTAGTCGGATAACTGGTGGATGAAGTTGATTGATCCTGCGTGGTTTCTTTTTCTAGGTAACGAAGATGGCAGGATTGATCAAAAGGGGCTGGTGCTCAAATGTTGTATCGTGTAATTCGGGCGAGAATCCAGGAATAAATGCAATACTAATAATGTAAATAGCCATATCCAATAGATAATCTGAGTTCGCGGGGGATGCATTTATAAATGTAATTACAAGCCATTTGCCTATGTAACTGGAAGCAATTTGACGGATTGTGACTATCTTATCCTTGAATTTTCGTTGGAAGTTGGACTTTAAGACTACCGTAACTCCATGCTTTGATGTGGCAGCTTAAGACCCTTTTTATAATGTAGTCACACTCATGGTGCGTGACCAATTCAGCACCAAGTGTCTTGGTCATGTGCGATTTTTATTTTTTAATTCATGTGAATGGTGGTATCGTTTGTTTATCAGAAGTTAAGATCATTGGATTACATCTTACATGTTGAGCAGGACAATCGTTTGTTTTCATGACCTAAAAAAAAAAATTACCGTCATTTACTTCACATGAACGATCACACATGATGCACATATCACGGATTGCCAAGCTTTGCCGGTGTAGTGGGTTGAGTTTTGTTTTTTGACCAGCGAGTGTTGTGGGTTGATAGATTGGCATATTGTATGTTTGTATTGAAGTGGTAAACGTGATTTGAAGCCCAAAATCACGTTAGAGCGGCTAACACAAACATGCCATAATGATTTGCGTTTGAGAAACTTCAAATATATTGGATAATGACCTACAAAACTAACCAGAAACTTCACTAAAATTTTAGAGTGGAAAGGGGAAGTCATTCTTGGAGTAGTTTTGAAGATTAACATCCTTCACCGGTGTACGTAATTTAGGGTCGTTTTGTTCTTTATAATAATTTTGCATGAAAGGACGCTTGAAAGTTTTGTTGAAGTTTTATTGTCAACTATGGGCAAAACATGTATGCTAATAATATATTAAATGGGGAAGTATTTGTCAGGACTTAGGGACTAGAGCAATTGGGATTAGACTCTCTAGTTACTTAATAATTGCCTTTAGAGTAAAATATTAGTCGCTTTGAAGCATAGTTAGATTACATTATGAATCATTATTTGAAATTTTAGTCACAATTGAGAGGCTTGCATAGTTCATGCGTCAGAAAACCGTGTGTAAATTATTTGCACCTATAGAGTTGAGCGCAAATTTGGTAATAAATAAACATTTACACTGGTAATTTTCCCCGGGACATCAAATTGGTATAATTTCGATTCAAGCCGTGCCGCCCATCCGCTTTGGTGGTTTACACTTTAAAGTAATTAGAGCAATTCCACGAAACACAGCGAGCACAACAGAATATTTTCGCTTTTAGAGACTCACAGCTCGCAGTCATTTTTCTCCACGCATTGCTTTATGTCACGATCTCATATCCCCTTTCATTTTACTTTTTTTTTTTTAAATTAGAGAGACAGATATTAATGATATGAGATTACAAGTAGAAGTAGAATCAAACTCATGACTTCTCACTAAGTTTACAAGGTTATTAGTTTAATTCCAACAATTGCATAGGCCTTCATCCTCTGTATACCACATTTTCTTTCTCCTCAAATATTATATTTCGGAGGGTCGAACACACAATCTCGTGTTTAAGAAACATTAAAAAGAGAGGTGATTAGTGCCATTGTGGTTGTAGCACAAGACCACTGTCCTCTTTTTGTATAATTTGTTGCATGTGTTTATTCTTTCGTATAAAATAATAGATTTAGATTACCTTTTTTTTAAATTTTTTTTTTTTTGCATTGGATTGATTTGTCAATCTTATATTCCATGCACGAAGAATTCTAAGAAATCAATTTCTTTTGGGCTTAACTTATCTAGCATGTGTATTTTATAATTTCTAACATGATTTTGACATCTACTTGCAATTTATCTGGATTGAATGAAAATTTCATATGATTATGTAGCAATTGAATGTGAGAGACATTACTCCTTCCATTCAAAAATATAAGGTATTTTTTGAAGGATTAGATATTAAAAAATATAAGACATTTTTAATGTTTCAAAGTGTAATCATTATATTTTTTTTTTCAAAAATATCCCTAATGAATAAATTATTTTATATTTATTTTAGAGTAAAACACTTTATTAAATATGGGTAAATATGAAAATATCTTATTAATTTGAAGATAAGTAACTACTTTATTAAGAATGAGATTTAATTAAAAATATTTTATATTTTTGAAGGAAGAAAGTATGAATTATAGGTGACAACTTACGTCTAGAAGGATTTTAATATGCTATAATCTATCTAGATTATTTTTATTTGTGTTGGATCAAAATAGCTCATACATTTTACACAAATAGTAAGTAATGCATTACGTAATATAGGAAGCCTGTCTAATAAAAATATAAAATAGGATATATTTTAACTGATGCGTGTGCGAAGTTCAATCCTATATATAATGCTGATATATGTAGAAGGCAAGGAAATGGATTAACTTTTCACACGTGACAAGAAGAAGAAGAAGAAGGATTAAACAATACTGAAACAGTGAATAGAAACAAGAAAGAAGGTATTATGATGAGATTTTAAATAAAAACAGCTTCTGTAGGCTGCAATTAGAGATACCGCAGGATTCAAGAAATATTTTGTAGTTAATTCATAAAACAATAAAACAAATGAATGAATGAATGAAATGGGTAAGCCTCTAGTTTCTGTCTTGATGGAGTAACTTGAGCTACTAACATCTATATCTAATCTTCTCTTCTCTCTCACGACTAGAATTACTTCCTCTCTCAGACTCTCACTGAGCTTAACTCGTTTCGATCGGCCAGTCAGCCATGGCTTCCATTGAAAACAACAATCAAGAGGGTATCTACTCATGACTTCGTGCTTGAATGATCCCATTTTCACCATCAATCAAGTTGATGAATGCAGCATCAAATTCAAGCGTTGAGAAGGCCATTCCTCCACCGGACCAAAACGTTCTGCAGAAGCACGCTTCCTTCTTCGACAGAAACCAGGACGGCGTCCTTTCCGAGGTAATATGTCAGCTCAAATGTTGTGATTGTCTGTAGGGCTTCGTGCAATCGGTTGCGGCATCTTCTTCTCCGCTGCATTGTCTCTCTTCATCAATCTGAGTCTCACTCACAAAACTCGCTCCGTAATTTTCTCCATCTTTTATTTTTTATATTCTCAAAAACACGTCTGGTTTTAATCATTGAACTCGGCTTTATTTGGATGGGAGAGCTATGGAAGTGAAAATAGGTCAAACCCTTAACAAGGGCCTACACTTTAGCCTACTTCAAATTTAACCTATCCTACTTATTAAATAGGTTTAGGTCATATACATGCTTTTACTTAAGCCTATTTAATTAAATAGGTCATACCTATTTTTCAAGGTCTAGCTTACGAATCCAACATGCTGACCTGTTTATATATATATATATATATATTATGTGTAACATCCTCAAATTTTAATTTGGTTGTTTAAGCCTAATTAGATTGATTAAGTTGTAGTGAGATGTGTGGCTAGAAAGGTTTAATGAGCGTGTTTGATTGTGGTTTCAGCCATAAAAGGGGTTTGAAGAAAAATTGGATCACCCAAATGTGAAAAGAGGAAGAAAAGTGAAGATGAAAATGTACTAAGTGTATGTGAGATGGAAATGAATTTAAAAACATGTTTTAAAAATGTTGATTTCATATGCATATGTTTGATTATAATTAATATATAACTACATAGGGTAAGTTTTACTCTGATTACTGAGTAGCTAGACTCACCCATTTTATTTAATATTTTACAAGGTCTAACTCTGGTACTGAGAAGGAAAAAGCCCAGGAGGCTTACAAATTAGTATATTCCTATTGTATGCCTCTAATTTATGTTTATTTTGTCTAATAAAATATTATTGCTAATTTTAGGTTGCAATTTAGTTACACTTGCACTATATGGTTATTTCAATGTTTGGAATGTATTTGTGAGCCATAAGAAATTGTATATGATAGGTTATATATGTCGATAGGGTCAAAATACTAATACAAGTATAGAAATAATATTTCAAATATATTATAACTGATTTTGATGCAATGCAAGGTAAATTACCTCCCCCTGTTGTTTTTGAAAAATGGGGTCGAGGAATTATTTTATATTATACTAGTAATTATGTGCATGTGATATGTTGTACTTGTAGTTTTAGGTTTAATGGATATGGTCTGGATGTTAAATTTAGCCATTGGCACTTGTTTTGGATTTGGACACCCCTTTATGTGTAAGAGTTGTGAAAAGTGGTAAAAATATATTTGGGTGTTTAACTTCTTGGTCTAACTTATTTTGGAAGTAAAACTCATATCATTAACTAGTTTATGAAAAGAGCTTTTTATAGACACCTAAGTCATGTTATTCAAACATTGGATGGAGATTTGAAATTTGTTAGAAGTTATTCTACTATTAAATGACAAAAGAATCTATTGTCAAAAAATACGTGTAACACGCCATGGTGCAAAGTGCACAAGCCATGATACATTGTCCTGTTTTGTAGCAAACATATTGTCTTTTAACTATTTTTATTCTTTTTCACTCCTCTGAGATATCTCATGCTTCTGCAACTTGTTTTTACTGTGATATAAGAGTTTATGAATGGTTTAAACTCACTTTGATTATGCAAACTTAGGATCCCTTGTTTTGAAATTAAAACTTGATAATCTCCTAAATGGATTAATTCTTTAATTACCATGAGTTTGATTAGTTAATTATGTTTAGTAGAAGAGATATTATATTATGTAATATATCACAAACTTTACCATTTGATTTTTCAATCAATCTATTTTTTTTATTTCTAGTTATATTCTCAATCATATTAGACTAATATATTAATTTTATTGTTATTTTATTGTTATATTACATTGTAGTTGGTAAGTCCGCTCACTTATTATATATTGTAATTGATAAATCAATTTATATATTGTGTATTATAATAATCTTAAAGTATATTTGAGACATTTAAAACTAAAATGTGAGTTTATTTAAAAAGCTTAATTTTAAATAGATTTTTAAATTAGGTTAGGTTTTAAGTAAACTCAGGCTTGAGTTATAAAAAAAGTTTTATATAGTTTCAAGCCAAACTCAGGCTTCTAATTTACTATATATAGACTCAGTTCTATTTAATTAAAGCCTAACTCAATTCAATCTTTTTTTTTACTCCTAAGAAGAGGTGATGAATGGTGCAGGGAAAATGTCCAAACACGAGAATGGACCTGGGCAGGGTTGCTAGCTGCGCAGAGTGGAAGCTCTCGTATTCTCTGTCCAAACACGAGAATGGTTTAGAGCAGTTTATGATGGCACCTTATTTCGTCAAATGGAAAAGGTAAGGAATTTAAGTTTTGAATGTAATTTTCAAATTATAGTTAAGTTTCCTATCTATTACTGTTAAATTTTTTGAGACCTAACTATCAATCTCTGAGTATATATGTAGATGA